TATTTCACACTACTCAAGTTGACTTTTTAGGATACATCATTTCAAATGATGGTCTTATGATGGATTCTAAGAAAGTCCAAACAATCATGGATTGGAAGATTCCAAAGACTGTAAGAGATGTCCAATGTTTCTTGGGATTTGCCAATTACTATCGGATCTTCATCAAAGACTTCTCATGAGTTGCAGCTCCACTTACACGCTTGACTAGTAAAGATAAATTCCAATGGAATCAAGAAGCGGAAGCAGCATTTGAAGCCTTGAAGACATCGTTTGTCTCTGCACCAGTCTTATATCGTGTTGACTTTTCCAAGGCATTTTTTATGGAAACAGACGCATCGGATTTTGCCTTGGGTGCAGTTTTATCACAAATGGGAACAGATGACAAACTTCATCCGATAGCTTTTCATTCAAGAAAATTCTCAGCAGCCGAGATCAATTATGAGATCCACGATAAAGAACTTCTTGCAATCGTGGATTCTTTTCAAGAATGGCGTCATTATCTAGAAGGTGCTTCTAGTCCAGTCATTGTGTATACAGATCACAAGAACCTCGAGTATTTCATGTCAGCACGCGTATTGAATCGTCGTCAAGCTCGTTGGAGTATGTCTTTGTCAAGATTCGACTTCATTATCACTTATCGGCCAGGAAAACAACAAGGTTTGTCCGATGCCCTGTCTAGACGTTCTTATTTTGCACCAAAAGAAGGAGATGCAGCTTTTGAGCAACAAAGAACGGTCCTCTTGAAACCGGAGCAATTTCATCTCCGAGCAGTGAAATCAACATTGACTGTTGATTCAACTTTTCTCAAGCAAATCCAGTCCAGTATGTCCTCAGACCCTCTTGTTCATGATATCGAGAATAATTCTTCCAAGTCTCATGATTCTTCTAAGTTCGAGTTCAAGAATAATCTATTATATTTTGAAGGACGCCTATATGTTCCAGAAGGAAAAGCACGTTTGCGTGTTCTTCAAGCACGTCATGACTTTCCAGCAGCAAGACACTTTGGATATAATAAGACTTTGGAACTCATATCAAGAGATTTTTGGTGGCCACAAATGTGGAAGTCAGTCAAAGACTTTGTACAATCATGTGATATTTGTTCAAGATCAAAAATTCCTCGACATCGACCTTACGGACTTCTTCAGCCATTACCTATATCAAAACAACCATGGTCTTCTGTTTCTATGGATTTCATCACAGATCTTCCAAACTCAAGATCTTATGATTCTATATTTGTGATAGTAGATCGTTTCACCAAGATGGCACATTTTATGCCATGTACAAAATCTATCACAGGTGAAGAAACAGCTAAGCTTTTCATTGATAATATCTATCGCTATCATGGATTGCCTAAAGATATCATATCGGATAGGGGAACTCAATTTGTGTCGAGATTTTGGAGGACTCTTTTCAAGATTTTAAAAGTGGACATAAAGCTATCTTCAGCTTTCCATCCTCAAACTGATGGACAAACAGAGCGCGTAAACCAAGTCTTGGAACAGTATTTAAGGTGTACCATCAACTACCAACAAGATGATTGGACAAACCTTCTGCCATTGGCAGAGTTTACTTATAATAATACGGTACATTCCTCCACGCAACAAACACCTTTCTTTGCCAATTATGGCTATCATCCATGACTTGATACTTTTGATTTTTCAAAAGTTGATAATCCTGCAGCAGAAGATATGGCAAATCGGTTGTCAGAGTTACATGCAATAATGAAGGCGCAGTTGAAGAAAGCTCAAGAACGACAAAAGATAAATGCAGATGTATATCGTAAAGAGCAACCACAACTCAACGTGGGTGATAAGGTATGGCTACTTCGTCGCAATATCAAGACCACTCGACCTTGTGACAAATTGGACTATCGTAGGCTTGGCCCCTTTTCTGTTTCTGAACAGATCAACCCAGTTGCATATCGGTTACATCTACCGGAGTCAATGAAGATCCATCCTGTATTCCACGTGTCTCTTCTTGAACCATATAAGACAGTGGATATACAAGGAAGAAGACAAATGCCACCGCCTCCTATAGAAGTAGATAATAATGAAGAATTTGAGGTGGAAGAGATATTAGACTCAAGGCGGCGCCGAAATAAGCTGGAATATCTTGTTCATTGGTGCGGATATGATATTAGTGAGCGCACATGGGAGCCATCCAGGAATCTAGCAAATGCATCAGCTAAAGTCAAAGTTTTTCATCAACGACATCCATCAAAACCAAGATGAAAACCTCTCTTATAAAAGAGACAAGATTGAGGAAGTTATGAAGGCCTCAACAGTGATCAAATAACAGGGTGGTCTTCTCGCCCTGGAATGGGACACTATCGATGGCTAAGAGGACCCATCAACTATCTTCGAAGAGAACAAAGATCAAAGTATGTAGCAAATACAATTCGCCGCATATTAGATTTTTTCAATATATAATCACCGCTCCTCGTGGAACTCGTCCCTAGAAGGGGGGGTAATGTCACGGACATACATATAATTACCTATATGAATAGATAAAAGTATGTAAAAGTAGGTTAATTGTGTAATATCTTCTAGAGAAGCTTCTTAGAAGCTTCATAGACGCTGCTTTGACTTTATAGGAGTCTATAGTTGACTTTTAGGTTAGAAACTTGGTCAACAAGTTAGCCATGTGCCACGCATGTTGGAAGCTTAAAGAACAAGCTAACTACGTGGTCCATCCATAGAAAACTTGCCTTGCAAGCAAAGGCATGTGGCCTAGAAAGTCAACATATATTGGAGGTCTTATAGAACATCGCCACGTGGCTTCTAGTTAGATAGTATATATAGAGGCAAGAGTGAAGTCCTCTTCACTCTTGTCAACTCCTTTCTTGCTTCTAGTCTAGTTTCAAGGGTCTCTAGTTTTCTTGTATTTTGGCAATAGCCATTCCAGTTTCTTTCTTAATATACATATTTCTATTTTGTCCTATTTCTTTTTGAGAAAAGTCTCACTTACTCTTTAGCTTTCATCGAGTTCTTGTCCTTGACAGATAGAGAATTTGAAGATTCTATTTTTATTTAGAAAAGAATGTTATTTTTTATACAAATGAATATAAAAATCATAGAATTTTTTTTTGAGTTTATATAGATCTCTTCATACTATGCTTTGAGGATTTTATAATTAATAACTACAAAATTTGGGTGTATTATCTTAACTATTTAAATGAATTCTTTAGCATTGCTATCACCGACATTTCTTCATCTAACAAAAGCTTAAATTCTCCAATCTTCTTATTTACAATCTTTATATTGACAAAGTTGAGTTTTAATCTTTTTAAGCTATAGTTAAGATGCAAAGTCTTAACAATGAGACTAAAGATCATACTAGACTTTCTACAAGTGTCCTTAAAGTTTAATGTGATGTCTTGAACTTAACAAAGATTATTCTTTACAAAAATATTTGTATAATCTTATGAAAAGTTTTATTTTATAAATAAAATAATCATTGTTTTTATTTAGAGACCAAAATTTTCTAACTTGTTGAAGAATCTTTGATTTATTGACAAAAGGAATATTTGACTTACAATTGAATGGACTTAGTTTAAAACATTGAAGTTAAAAGATAAATTTAATAGGAAGGTGATCCAATATTGTTTTTTCATATCTTATTCTATATTTTTTTTTTTTATCTTTTAAAATATCTATAATTATATAAAATTCATCTAACTTAGCAATTACTTGAAATTATTGTAAATATGAGCTTATACAATGTATAGTATTATGTATGTATGTTTGAATATATATATATATATATATATATATATATATATATATATAACATTTTTTTCTTTTTTCTTCTTAAACCAGAATGTAAAATTGTATAGACCAAATAGCAAAAACAAACCAAGTACATTTTGATGTTTCTAAACACAATATCTAAAAGGTTATTCATATTACATAAAGGAACATGTCAAAAACTCAAGTTTAGAAAAAAAGAGTTTTCTTAGTACATAATATATATTTAACATTTTCAATCTTCTGTTTTAATTTCAAAGTTTTTTTTAACGCACAAATCAACTATGCTATTGAAACCACCACAAATAAAATATGAACCTTTATTTCATCATTTTTCTGTACTTTTTTCCATCAAATATATATAATCATAAATGTAATTGTACATGATTGAGGTACCGTCTATAACGTCATTCTTATTCCTAACATTTTTTATTTTTTATTTTTTTTATTATTAATGACAACGTATAATTTTAAAATAAAAATTAACGCTCTCATGATCAAAATCGGCTACGATAATTTTATGAGTTATTTTCTTACGGCAACAATAAGAATACAAGCAAAATCAACACAAAGATTATTCATTATTATGATGTTTCTTATCTCATTCACTCGAAAGGTAATTGAAACAGAACACATGCTTTCTAGGCAAATTGAATTTGAAGAGATCCAATGTGAATCAAAATCATGCATTGACTGGACATGAAATAACCCCATTAATTATTTAATGTATCCGTTGGAAATATCAAACATTCGTTGACAATGAAAACTACGAATATAAACCGGAGCATTTCAGGATAAGGCATCCGTCCTGATTAGTAACTTTTTGTGAGGAGATGGTAGTGATTAGGATATTTTGATCAAAATTGAATGATCACACCCTTTTGACAACTGACGATGCGGCATTTCACGGTTTATGGGCGCTTATACATTCAGATATGAGTGCTGAACCTCATGAAGGCATGACAGGAAGGTATATTCTTCCAGTGAGTCTCCCTCAAGACCCCAAATGGTTTGTCCAATACATAGTGAGTCAATTCAAATCACATATAAACAAGAGTGCTAAGAATCTTAGAACATGGAATAGCTCAATTGAGCTTTAGGACACATCACGTACTACAATCTGTAATGTCGGGCGTTCGACAAAGATCAATTTCTTACGGGCACACCACAAGAGAGGAACTGTGAAGGATGTTTGGAGACACAAAGTAAAAGAAAAAAACATGTAACCAAAATTGTTACCCTTCGCAAAAGCTGTAGTGCATAAAAAACTGCTGTAACAAGTGAGCCATACTGAAAACAATCAAGATTGTATTTAAGTCACAACCTGATACAAGTTGTGTGCTGATTCTGACCCTTCAAGTCACTTTTCGATAAGAAGCGAGTGGTGTCCTCTATATCCAACTATTCAATATAAGGTGGATGAGAAGCAAATGCTGAGAACACTAAAACTAGGAGCTCATTCTCCTATGTCTCAACACCATCAGTATCCTGTTCTCATGTAGTCGCAGAAGGCTCCTTCCTAGGCTTCTTCACAAAATCAACCTAACGGTTCATAACTTCCGGCTCCAGTGCACACCATTTGTAGACACAAAGCTTGAATTAACTGAAACCACGATTTACGCAATCGCAACTCGAAAGACAAGACCCTCAGGGCACACACTGTACACCAACCCCTGAGGCGAAATCTAAGTAAGAGATCACGCAGAGACCACCTGGACAATGACCCAATTTAGGACACTGGTACAGTTCCAGGCTGCATATGTCCCTTGAGTACCCACACAGACAACGTCGAAAGCTCTTGCAACAGTACGTGTAGCCGCTGCATTGATGTGCCAAGAATCTGGTCGACATAGTCCCACTTTGCGCGCTAACCACAAAATGTCCATGCGTTGAATTTATACATCACCAAGAAACAGAACTTCGGAGCTGGTTCGGAACAGATTTAAAAAAAACTCGGCAGCTCGCCACCTTTCGCTCTGAGCATCAACTTCAGTATCCATTTTCTCCTCTACTGGGCTTGTGTACGCTCAAATGCTGGGCTTGTGAGCCGCTAATTGGCAACCACCCTATCTGCACTACGCAATGAACAATGTGACTAGTTCATCCAAGGAATAAACATATTTGGAATAGGACAAGACATGCAAAGTAGACATGCAGAACACAAACTTCTTAGACCGTTCGTAGAGTACGTAAAAGACATACTTTTCGTTTCTTGTTCTCCGCAAGCTCAAGCTCCTTGGACCACTTGCTTTGCAACGCAGTCCTTTCACTGTAGTTTTCAGATCCACCATCTCTGCTTCCTCCTGCAGTGTGAGGCACTGCAAGTAGAACCACCATCAGCACCAGAACTAAAGTTGACAAAATACCAATAAATAATCAAGCAACCTGTCAATTGATGAGTGAAAAATAATCACCTTCGGTCATCGGCAACTCTGTAAATGCACGAGGTGGAAGAGGATCAAATTCGAATCCCAATGGTGGCCCATCTTCTCTAAGAGGTCCACACAACTGGCTTTCAACAGCCATTATAGCTGCCCGTTCAGCTGCTGCCATAGCATTGAATTTTGGCTTTGGACCTGGTCGTCGCGGTGGCCTGTTTGGATCCTTGGGTATTCTTGGACCACCTCTTCTTTTTGGTCCAGGCATGATCTTCTCTGAATCTCTGTAGCCACCGTTACTAGCAACATCCATGCCATTTGTGTATTCGTTCTCGGCAATAAGCTCATCATCATCTCGCTCCTCTGCTAACACTTGAGCTAGGTATCCGTCAGGTTCTGATTCTTCCTCCACCACACGCTGAGCTTCCTCTTTTTTAGATGAACATTCCTGATTTAGCATATGATCTTGAGTCTTATTCTTGGCATAAAATGTCAACTTTTCATCGTCAATTCCATCACGCCGGTCCTTATACCGTCGGTGTGTAAACCAGATCTGAAGCTGCTTATCAGAGAGATCAAGGTCCCTAACAAGCTTTTGTCTAGTTGCCTCGGACGGATATTTCTCCACTGCAATTGCACGAGAGATGATGAATAGAACGGCCTTAAGCTTGTATGAGAATACACCCAGATGAACTATCTTATCCTGATTATAGGCATCACACCGTGGTTGGTGACATAAAGCTGTATCCAATTTGTTGACTAGTTGTGAATATATAATTGTAAACCAACAATTTCCACGGTACAACTCATCTAGAACGCTTCCAAAGATAAATTTGAACATTCATGCTGATAATGGGGGTAGAATCCATTAACCATTCATAAATATGAAAGCAGCTTCTGGCTACATTAAACAGAAACAGCAAGAAATGCCTCGCAAAGAAAAAAACAATGCATCCGCGATATTCATGAGCATTGACTTTACCAGCATATGCTCTCTCCAGAACTTCAGTTTGTGAGGCACTTTTCTTTTTCCTAGAAATCCCCTTGGGCTTTTCAGGAGGAGATGGGGCAGGCGAGGTGTGGGGCGAAGAACCATCTGAGGCCATCGAATCGCAACAATCGGTCACTGCCCGCCTTGACGGAACCCTGCATAATAAACAAATTTCCAAATACTCAGAAACAGCTCTCATGGCACCAATTTCATGAATCTTATCTCGTCAACAGCCAATCCGACGCCATTATACCATTCCATAGCAAGTCGAGGGTACATTCTAGGCGAAATATCCGTAATGGTACATTGTCCAGATGAACTCCACGATGAGCCAGTTCTAGCCAACCGAAGAGAAGTGAGTCGTAAATCAGGGGAAAATAAATATTACAATTTTTTCCAATTGTAAATTTAATTATAAAATATAATTTAATAATACATTTTAAAAAACTGAAACCAGATACTACATGCGCAAAGGTAGTAAATAGGACCATCATGTTTTATCATCCCTCAAAGTTACGTGATCAGGCACTGACACAGAATTCATTTGACAAATCGTAGGCAAGTTGCATAATGAGAGGCTACGACGAAACCCAGAAGGACGCAAAAAAGCAGTTCTCTAGATTTTCAGTCCTATGCTGTAACAAGCGCAACTCAGTCACAGGCCGAACTCTTCATCGCAGAACAGATTCGAAAGAGAAATACCCACCTCAATCTCTACGATAATTTTCAAACGATGAAGCCACAGTCATACTCAAGTCCGTCATGCTCTCGAAATCATTGACGTTCCACATACTCTCGACATCATCTTTGTTCCGCATGCTCGTTCCATAATCCACTAATTGGTTGTCTCTATGTCCCAAGGTCTCGTATCTTCAAGAGTAACCCTTGTTACTCTTATTAAAAGACATCAAACCTAACAAACGCCAGCCCTATCTGGTGGTACTTCCAACTGGTATTGAATCTTCCGCTGCTTCTGCGTCTCCTGCTGTATTGACTTGTTCCACCTCAACACCAGACTTCTCTACAAGTACTCTCCCCACCTAAATGCCTCGCAGAGACAAGAGAAGAAGGTGTGCACACTTGAACTCCTGAAACAAGGACACCGGAAAGGCATTCTAAACGAAACTAGGAAATAGAGAAGCAGACCCTAGACAAATACAAGATGCGTTTTCCTCATGCTCTAGTGTGGGCTTTCTCTACTTTCTCGTAACCTTCGTCGTTTAAACTTGCAGGCGAACCAGTAGGCAAACTGTAAGAACCCCAACCCAATCAAAGCCAGCGCTCTTTGGTTCTCCTCTCGCAAACCGACGGCGGCAGCATAAAAGAATAAGAGAGCATGCACTGCAAAGCTTCTGAAACAGGACACCGAGGACTTGTAATACTTGTTCCGCACAAACTAGTTACCCTAGAAGGCAGAGCAGCCGACCCTGAACCAGCACTAGACGTGCTTCTTGTGGCTTGCCCTGATGTGTTGACTCTTCCTCTCCTTTCTCGGCTCCTCCTTTGTTTAGACTTGTTTCAGCCGTTCTCTTTCTGTGAGTGTGTATGTGTCTGTCTGTGCTGTCTGTCTGCACAGATGTGATGATGATGACGATGACGATGCTGTTGATGAGTTAGGTTGGAAACTACCCCACCTATCTGCGTAGCTCCTTGGCTTTGGGCCCTTTCAGTCACCGTAGCCATGCGTTCACTAGTTTTACACACGCACTTGTTGTGTAATAAACACGCACATAACCGACAGTGCATGAAACCCTCAGTCTCGTGCATCCACTTGCCTAGCTTCCTGGACAATCTAGTCAGTTTACTTGTCTTTACAGCAGCTGTTTCGACTCTCCTTACATCTGTTCAAAGTAATGCTCTCACTCCCCATCCCACATCAATATTTTTGATTCAATCTTGGTATATATCTGTGTGGATGTCCGCCCTCGTATGTCCATCAACTAACTAAATTTCTCCGGTTTCTCCTGATAAGGTATCCTTTTGGTTGCTGTAGCGGGTATCGCACCTCATGGATGATGAGGTGGTCTCGTCAATCTTTCCAATTGAAGTCAGAGTTCCCTGGAACGCACAAAGCGGGCACACGCGGATTATCTTATGCAGACCCTGTAATGGCCTTGAGAACCTATGTGTGGAGCACATGTGTATATACTATTATTAGGTTACAGGCAGGAAGGGCTACGTTGATGGCAGTACATGGTGATCAGTGAATCTCAGGGTACCTTTGAGCAGTCTGCTGTCAACATTGACTACTCTAGGCGCACAACCTTTCCTTCCGAAGAGTAGGTATAACGTATGCTCGGCGTGCTCTAACAGAAGTCATTGCAGATGAAGGAAGCGACAGTGTGAAGCCTCACTCTTGCGTAGATGTGCGGTGAACCGCGCTGATTGAGCAGTCTGTATGTACATCACACGTAGAGTCGCCCAAGTCTTCGTGGCTTTGGATAGGCATTGAGACCGGGGTGGAAGGAACAAAGTCATGGCAATGGCCAGGACCTCCTGCACCTGGTGGGGACGCGCTTTACGATTTACACAACTTCTGGAAGCACGAAAGCAGGGAATAAGCACACAACGACGACTGGATGTAACTTGACGAAGCACACATCTGCGCAGACGCGAACATCGCGATGACCCACCACGGTTTTACTGCAAATCTCACAACTACAACCATGCCGCAACGTCGATTTCCGCCCGCTCAAGACAATCGCAGAGAAACGGGTCAAGGGAGTTAAAAAAAAAACACAGGAGTAGTTCAGCGGTCTAGACGGGGGAAACTTGAGTTCGACACTTGTGAGGATGCAGCAAGCAGTTACCCACAAGCAATGGAGTGAGAGAGGAGGAGGGGGGATTAGTTTTACGAACAACAAGGCCACTCCATTCCATTATTCGGCCCAGTTGGTCCACCATGATTTGCAGCATGCGCTCCACCATGGCAATTGCCGTGTGCCGTGTAGCAAGCACACAGTGGGATTTTCCCCCTCAGCGCCGTGATGCGATCATCATCCCCCTCTAGATTCTTTGCGTCATTGGACTTTGTATTCTGCGGCGTGGAAATCACGGCCCAGCCCCACGCCACCACCCACTCCCCTCCCTGGCTTCCCGTGGCCTCCGTTCACACTAGGGTTCCATGAGCAGGATGAATGAAGGCTGCTTTATCCCTTCCCAGCGGTGTGCATGGTGCCTGTGGATTGTGGTGGTCGGCAAATCATTCACAGAAAGGCATGGAGCACTTCCCCTCCTCTCAGGCCGTGGCAGAGCAGAATGGTTACCCAGCTGATACCTGTTATGGATGAACGGAAAACTCGAATGACTCCTTGGATTAGGACTTTTATAAATCTTAAACCCTTAATCTTGTCTAATTGTTCAGATATGATTTTGTGTTATATTTACAGATTCCGTTTTGTTGTTTTCTCTTGCCAAGGACTGGAGCTGTTTACAAGCAAGACCCTCCGCCTCTGTTTTAATTTAGAAATTTTCATACCCTGGTCATGTGCTTTGGGGTTGCAAGATGCACAATGGGCAAGCATGGAGCTTTGAGTGCTGATGTTTTTGAGTGTGTTGCAATTCAATAGCAGAGAAAAACATGCACAGTTGACCACAAATAATCAAATAGATGAACACTATGTGACACTTCATGTGTGTACAAATGAACATGTATATACACATATACATGTGTGCCTGGGGTAAACAATAACCAAATTTTGGAAACAATAAAATACTTGTCTTTTATGCTTCCAGATAATGAAAATTACATATTTTGAATAATATAGCAATTTTGAGTGCATATATGCAAATATATGTAAATGTATATGTATGTATGTATGTATCTATATATGTATGTATACAAATTTTGAGTTGTTAGTGCAAAACGTTAATTTGGTTTTGAAAAACTTGAAGGTTAAGTTAAATTTTATGTTCTAACTATAAGCTTTATGTGCAATGAGCTTTTATGAACCAAAAAATTGCCATAATTTTTTATTTAATCCATTTCTAATTACATATTGTATTATGAGTAAAAAAAAATTAAAGTAACAAAAATATAAAAAGATTTATCTTCAAATAAAATATTATTTAAATATAAAAATTAGAGTTGTATTGATCTACAAAGTATCATAGATTGACAAAGCAACTTCTTAATCCTAGGCTTTTTGTTAGGGACATATTCCTTAGAACTTTCTAGAGAGAAGTTTCTAGAACCTTCTAGAAAACAAGCCTCTGGAACCTTCTAGAAGAGAAGCCTCTGGAACCTTTTAGAGAGAAGTTTCTAGAAGCTTCTAGAAAGGAAGTCTTTGGAACCTTCTAGAAGAGAAGTTTTTAGAAGCTTCTAGAAAGGAATCCCCTGGAACTTTCTAGAAGCTTCCTAGTTAATAGAAGTAGCTCAAGAAGTTTCTAGAACCTTCTAGAAAGGAAGCCTCTGGAACCTTCTAGAAGCTTCCTAGTTAATAGAAGTAGCTCGAGAAGCTTCCTAAGTAGGAGTATATATAGGGATCGAGGCTGAAGAGTTCTTCAGTCTTGACAACACATCTCTTGGAGTTCTAGCTCACCTTTCTGGTGTTGTTCTTGTACTCATCTGTTTAATTTAGTTCTGCCACTTCTTCTTGAACTTCTTGTTAGATTTCAAGTCTGTATTTTGTGTCCGTGACAGTTTGTCAAAACTACACTAACTTGAGATATCAGAGCTAGTTCTTTCTTAGTAGAGTGTGGATTATCCCTCTACTTGAAGGTATACTAGCATTTTTTAGAGGTTGCGGTGTCGTATTACATGCTTTCCTGCTCGAGAACGCGTCGGGCGTCTGGCTGTAGAAGGTAGTATGGAGATTCGTCGATAGTCAAGCAGTCTATCAGTTTTGACTGCTGGAATATAAACGACTGCAATAATGTACCGTAAATCTATACGGATGCTCTTCGACTGCTTGTCAAAGTCCTTTTTGCCCCAGCCGGTAGGTCTCTAGACGTTACAGAGAACCCCGAACAACCCAAATTGTTAATCTTCAATACCGCTTTGTACTTACGATCTTGTATCCACTGACTGTCTTGTTAGATTAACCCAATAAATTTCATTCACTCCGCATACTCAATCCTATAGACGCCCTTTTAATCCTTCAATCACAAACGTAACTCGATTTCACAAAACAGTCAAGAGTATTCAAACCCACTTCATTAAAAATCTCAATTCACCATTACAATACTGACTTCAGCAGCGATTGCCTCAGCCTTCCCAAAACTCTACGAAGAAGAAAAATCCAAATTCTCTGTCTTTCCTTCCCCGACCCGAAGCATGAAGCTCCTCTCTCTAATCCCTTTGATCTTCAAAAACCTCAAATGAAAACCGAACTAGTAACCTTGCAAAAGCTTGAAAACTAGCTCTCCCCGATTCCCCACAGAAAAAAAAAAACCCCCTTTCAAAACTATATCCCCCCTAATCTTATCCTCTGAATTTCTTCAATCTTCCATCTTAAATCCGGAATTGGCTCCCACCTCAAGCTTGGATCCGAAATTGGCTCTCGCCGTCAAGCTTGGATCCAAAATTGGCTCTCGCCGTCAGAGCTTTCTCCTCCGTTTTTACCTTTAAGAAATCCATTTACCGAAAACAACGTTCCCTAAAACGGCACAGAGAACAAGACAGCCTGAAATAGAATCGAACCCCGTAATCCGGACCACATTAAGTCGCCCGACCAATTCAGGTCCCATATTGGGAAAGATGCCTGTAGTAACCTGGATGTTCCCGTAATTGGGTCAAATTAGTCCTCGCGTCAGATTAGCTAAGACCCGTAGTAAGACCTGGATTTTCGGTAATTAGACTGTATTGGGTTGATCGGCCAATTCAGGTCTCATATTGGATAAGAGGACCCGGATTGGATTCTCGAAATTAGATCCAATTGGCTCTTCGAACCCATCGTGTGAATTGGTCCTTCTCTTTCTGCTGACTCCCGTTATTGGAATCGAATGGAGCATTTCAGTATGCCCCGGCTGACTGTAACGGAGTGACTGAACCTGACCACTCAGTATTTGTACTGGAGTTGGTCGATGCTCCTAATATTCGAGGTAACTGAATATTAATAAAATTCCCCTTTCTTTTTATTTTCACTGTATACTCGTGTTAGAACACAACATCCACCCCCTCTGAACCTGTGCATCCTCCTGTACGCACCAATTTACTCAATTGCTATTTGATTCAGAATATATCCTCTACGTATTTGTCCAGTTCGTCTTCGTCACCTTCATTATCCAAATCACTTTCATCTTCTTGCTGCGGAATCTCTATACCTTCATTAAGGTCTTTCATATTCATCTCTGCGTGTCTTCGTTTAAATATTTTTACTCGCTTCCCTGCAATTGGTATTTTCAATTTTGTACCATCTAACTCTCGTAATGAGTAAGTCGCATTACCATGAACAGTTGTTACTACATATGGTCCAAACCAACGTTTTGAGAATTTCCACAAAGTACTATGTTGATTATCCAGACTATTGTCATAAACAAGTACCCAGTCACCTTCCTCGATTGCTTTTGGTCTCAATCGATGTTGCTTATCGAATCGCGCCTTGTTTTGTAACCTTGCTCTTTTTAACCTTCCCAATGCTATCTGGACATCTTCCGTTCTTTGCTCCAATTGTCGAATCCTAATAGCCAAAAGTTCTTCTCTTGTCAATCCATCTTCCCATGGTAGCATACTCCAAGTAAGTACCTTTTCTTCAATCGGCATAATTGATTTTTGACCTGTCATAAGTTCTACTGGCATATATCCTGTCACCGAGCTATGTGTTGTTCGATCAGCCCATAATGCAAATGACAAAAGCCGTGGCCACTCTTTAACTTTCCCATTACAAGCTTTAACCAATGCTTTCACAATCGGTGGGTGACCACATTCGCTTTTTGCATTCCCTTCTGGATTATAAGCAGTAGTCAGTGATAGTTTAACTCCACATCTTTCAAAGAACTTACGAGCTTCTTGTGCATTTAATTCTCCACGATCTGCAGTGATTTTTCCTACGCACCCGTAACGGCAAATGACATCTTCAAGCAAAAACCTACAAATCCCCTCTGTAGATTTTGTCCTCAATGCTCTTCCTTCTACTTGATTTGATAAATCTTCACGAGCTAAAACCAAATATCTCATCTACCATAACTCAACCGGTATAATAACCAAATCAACAACCCATTTAAAATGAATAGCCAGAGGATACGTAGGATGAAGACCATCTCGGTGTCGGATATTAGAATACGATTGACAGATTACACATGACTCTACAAATGAGAGCACATCTCGATACATA